TCCCTGGCTAGATAGAAATGTGATCAGGGTCTTTTAGCATCTTGAAGTACCTCAGCCAGATAGATCAGTGGCTCCCAACAGCTGAATCATGCTGTCTTTAAAAAAAAAAAACAAAAGAAAAAAATCATAGAGTTTACTGAGAAAGAGAAGTTCCCACCGCACTGGAGTTGAAAAGAACCGAGAAAGTTTTTAGGCTCTGACCAGGCTGCCTTGAGTGGCTCACTCAGAAGCCGTCTCTGTTCAAGGCCATCAAGGAGCAGCAGTGAAGCCCACAGCTGCCTGTGTGAGCACATCTATGTTGGGAGACACTGGTGGCCAGTGTGCACAATCTATGCAGCCTGACTCCAGGCTTAAAACAAGCAGGGCTCCACCCCAGGCAGAGTCTAAAACACATTCTGCGGACAGCTTTCAGTCTCTTGTTTCTTCTTCTGTGTTTAACAATGAGTGCCTGTGGCAGCAAGACTGCACAGTAACTGAGTCTGGAGCATCATTTGTGAGGACTCCTGCGTGAATCTGCACTTCTTAAAATCAATTCTCTTTTGAATTGACCAGTTTTAAAAACAGACTAAGCTCTCTGTTGACACTTTCCTTATCAATGGTATGTCCTACTTCAGGTTCTTTTATATAACAAATGTGTTATCATCAATCTGCTAATCCTTTTTGTCCCACGTCTTTTGAGACAGAAAGTCATGTGCAACTAGAGGGACTATATTTTCACATTCTTTGATAAATATACGAATTTAGCCAATAAAACTCAGTGTATTGTGTATTTTGTAAAACCTTGGTAACCATTAACATTACATTCATAGACCATTTAAAGATGAAATAAAATATGTTAATTCTGAATTTCATTCTTGACCTCTTTAAAAATACTTCCTAGACTCCCCAATCACATTGGCCTTGATGATACAATTACATCTCGCTGTGTTCACCACAAAGCCAACTGCAGACCTGTCAGAAGGGCCTGTGTGAACAACAGACTTCTCACTTCCTACTTGTGGAACAGTATATTAAAGGAGCCTGTTAACATGTAGTTTAAAACTCAGAAGAAACTCTGAACAGCTGAAACGCCTTATAAATAGCGCAGACCCAGAGGAAGTGCAAACGTCTGCATTGTGAATTGTAGATCTTAATTACCGACAATGGCTGGTACAGCAAGTAGCACAGAAAAAAAGTGAAACAGTTGCACTGTTCATGGTTGGCAATAATTCTTCAGGAAAATATTTACTATCAATCAGTTATGAGAAAAGGGACTCTGTGCTTGTAAAACAGCACGTTGCTTCTCATACCAGGGCCATTTTGCTTCAGCATAATCTGAATTTAAACAGCTTGTTTCCTGCGGATATAATTTTGGAAATAAATAAAACAAGTCTTCTATCAAAATCCGGAGTGAGTGGGAAGGAACATCACATCTTTCTATCTCAGTCAGTTTCAAACAGATTATTAGTCTCAAGTAAAAAAACAGTAATGACAAACAACAAAAATACAGAATGTACACAAGACCACTGATGGGCTTATTCCAAATAAAGACAGAACTTTCCAAATCTAGGCCAGGTATCAAGGTAGAGGTACCCGAACAACTCAATTTTAACTGTACTTGTTTATGGAAGGGGTGTGAGGTGTAAAGGTAAATTACGGAAAAGCCTCAAACCAAAATTTTCTGTAGTATTCCAATAAAGTCAATAACAAGATAACATAAAAATTAATGTTCTCAGTTTTCTTTCATAATTAAAAAACATGAAGGTTGACAATTAGGTACAATGTGATTATAGATTTTAAAGACTAAGCTGACAGTCAATAACGACTGTCCATTTAAAGCTATAATAAATATAGAGCTCATCATGTTCCCCAAACAAATCCCATAAACACTAGGGCTGTGAGCAGCAAATGAAATGCTCTAAAAAAGCAAACTAGCTGGGCATGGTGGTGAACCCAGCACTTGGGAGGTGGAGGCAGGCGGATTTTGAGTTCAAGTACAGTCTGGTTGACATAGCCAAAGCTACATCAGACAGACAGAACAAAACAAAAAAGTAAACTATATTCAAGAAGTTTCATGGCTTCAAATACTACCCTCCCCGTGTTTATTTTTAAGTGTTTCTTTCTTGAACTCTTTCTTTCAGTAGACTAGCTTTTGAAGCACCAGTGCTTCCTTACGCTCTATGGAGAGTTAAAAGGGATGTCCTTTCCACACAGCAACTGCAAGGATAGGGCAACAGGCAGAGGAAAACTATACACAAAATACTACAAGGTTCATCTGTGCTTTTAAGAAGGACCAATGTCTTCAGTAAAGTGCAAACAAGTAATGTTTAATTAAAAGGTCTAAAGACTACAATTAATATTTATACCCAAAACAAAATTACTCTGACTGAAATTCAGTTGCTTTGAACCATGGGGGTGGGGGGCGGCTGGCTTCACTATATTACAGTGGTGCTCACATGGAGACAGCTGGGTACAGAGTCCAGTTTGAATTAGTATCACACACTCGTGCCAGTTTCTGAAGGAAAGCCATCATGACAGCCACATCAGTACAGCAGACAAAACTACTGTTAAGAACTTAAGGTGAAGAGCAAGAAATAGAGAAATGCTTACAGACCTACAAAAATATCTTTGAGTCATTTCTTTCAAAGGTCAAGCAGTAAACGAGGCCAGGAGAGACAGCATGAAATCATGAGACAGATATAACATGTTTAGCAATAAGAAAGGAAAATTCATTGTTGCCATGCTAGTGGAGGCCACTGCAATAAACATTTTTTCAGTTACGTATTTTTATTTGATGACTTGGCTCAAATTTGAAGCAATGAACTAGAAGACAGGATGTGGGCCAATAAAAGGAACCAGGAAGCTGGTTGTGTTCCAACTGGAAATTATAGAAATCATTATTCAATTAGAGTGGTTAAGGGGACAATGAAAGAAAATAAGTGTCAGAGTAACGTTAAAACAATCGAGAATGGGATGAGACGGCCACCATCCCGGAGCAAGTGAAACAGACTGATGAGCAGCAGCGAGCAAACTTATTTCCTCACCCAAGAGCATGAAGAAATCATACCACCTTGCCAGACGCCAGGAGATTTCTAACTGTGCACCGATGGAGTAGAGGGTGGGAAAGAAAGACAGACAGAACAAGGAAAACAAACCCACCGCACGCTGCACAGACACACAACAACACGGCTAAGGAGTGTACAAATACTGGCTTACCACGTACGGGAAAACAAAAGCAACAGATGCTCGGTTGGCCAGCTCTCAATGAAGCTCATTAAAATTGCTGCCTGCCCTTGGATTGGTGCTCATCCGGAGTCTGTGCCTGGTGTAGCCAGAAGTCACTTATGATGAAAGTGACAGCAGCATGTCCAGAAAAAGGATCAAAACACTTGTTTGATCTGGGTCTCTATACCCCAATGCTAGAACTTAAGACACAATTTGATGAAGCTACCACTTGCAGCTATAATTTAAAATAAAATTCTGACATGTCTCATATGGCTAAGTCCAATGACCATAAGCTGTATGTTTTCAGTAATAAAGCAAGGTCAGAAATTACCATGTATTTTAGGAAATATAATAAAAATTATTACTGCTCCTAATCCTGAATGACTGTATCCCTTCCTAACCACCTAATGTGTAAGAACAGAGTCTTCATGAACAGAATTAAAGCCCTAAGCAATAAGTAAATAAATGAACAGATTAATAAGAGATCCCAGAGGACTTGGCTCATCCCTTCCATCCTGAGATTATAGCAAGGTTCCATCTATGAAGAAGAGCGAACGTCCAACTAGACATTGAATCTACTGTCACCACGATCTTCCCACTGTTATAGCTACCTTGTTTATTTTTTGTTGTAATAACACAAAAGAAATAAAATAGCTCTTTCTGAATTTTATAAGATGGAATCTACCATGATATAAAGTCCTATCTCTAATAATGATAGTAAATAAGGGCCTGTATGTAACATAAAAGATGCAGCAGAAAGTTGGGAAAGATGTAAAACAACACCCCTAAATGGTAATAAACGTTATTTTTGATTAAAAAATGGAGACAAACTCTAGAAATACAACTCAAACTGAATGTTATCCTCAAGACAGTAAAGATAACAAAAAAGCTACTCCCACTCAATCCAGACAATTGAAAAAAAAAACATTTTAAGATTTCTAATTAAAACATTTTTGTGTATGGGTGTTTTGTCTATTATGTATGTCTGTGTACTATGTGAATACAGTGATCACAGAGGCCAGAAGAAGACATTGGGTCCCCTGGAACTGGAGTTACAGATGGTTGTGAGCCACCATGTGGTGCTGACAAGTAAACCTGGGTCCCACACAAGAGTCCAGTCCTTAACCACTGAGCTCTTAACCACTGATCCATTTCTCCAGCCCTGAAGATTTCTCAGTTTTAATATTAATTTTGTATCTAGAAATGTAACACACATTTATACATAAAAGACTAGGCTAAATACACATTTTCACTCAAGGTCACCAAATAAGACAGTTCTTAAGAAAAGTGGCACAACATGACCTGGGATCTCTGTAGCCGTCTCAAGCACTCTGCTCATACTGCCCCCATCAGCCTATTTCTGGCGTGCCCCACCTGCACTTGAAGGAGGCTAGTGCATGCCTTTAAGCCCAGCACTTATGAGGCAGAAGCAGGAGGATCTCAAGGCCAACCTGGTCTACATCGTGAGTTTCAGGACAGCCAAGGATACACAGAGAAACCCTGTCTCAAAAACACCAAAAACCAAAACAAAGAACAACAACAAACCACGAAGGAAGTTATAAAACAAACTGTTATCTTATACAAATCTTACTGATCAGTGTGACAGGATAAAGGAAAGATTTCTGCTGCAACCGAAGAGACAGAAACCCTGACTTTCAGTTCACTCTGTATAAAGTGGTGCCTCTTATATCCTCTTCAGTAATATATGTATGATCTTACAATAGTCTGTGGTGACCCTGAATAAAAGCAACTATAGACACAGTGGGATATGTTAACTGGTAAACATTGTTACTTACTTTGGCCACACAATTCTCAGTCTTCATAGCAGTGCTTGTCAGACATACTGTTTCTTGGTTTATGCAGAGCCTGGCACAGCTGTTGTAAGTCTGTAGAGACAATTTAAAAAAAAAAAATGGTTTTTTTTTTTTTGTTTTGTTTTAGATACTGAAATACTGACATACATAGCTGTCAGACTCTCTATTTCTCTAAATCAATGTACAATTCTACATATAAATTTATGGTTGTTGAGAGACCAAGTAGAGAAGAGGAGGTAAGGACGGAGCCCATAAAAGCCAATGGTGTGCCCATGAGCAAGCAGGCGATGAATTCAGGGTGTGAATGGGAGATAAAGGATTGGATAGAAAACATCTTTTAAAGTGAAAAGTTTAAGCAGAGACCAATGTGGGAAGATAGTAAGTCTGAAGCTAGCCTGGACAACACAGTGATACTGTGTCTGGAAAAAAAAAAAAAAAACCAAAGTAAACCTAAAGTTTAAGAACCCACAGTCTGTTTTAAATAGCCATTAATTATCAGCCAGACATGGTAGCACACACCTGTGAACCAATCACTGAGGAGGACTGTGAATTGGAAGGCAGGCCAGGCTGTATAACCAGTTCCAGACCAGCCTGGATTAAATGGCTGGACCTTGTTCTAACCACAACAGAGAAAAAGAGTAGGTCTGAAGTATACTTAGGAGCCTGATTAGAAGAAAACTTAAAACAGAGCTCTAGGGAATAGATACAAATACTGTCTACAGTACAGTCTTCCTTCATGCTGAAAAATCCCCTTGGCCTCCTGGCAGGGTTTCTGTGTGGAGTCCTGGCTATCTACCTGCCTCTGCCTCCTGAGTGCTGGGATTGAAGGTATGCACCACCCATGCATGGCTAAAATGAGTATGTCTCTCTCTCTCATTTATTTACTTCCTTGCTTATCTATTTATTTGTTTTTTTTTTCTTTTTGTTTTGTTTTTTCTTTCCCCGAGATAGAATTTCACTGTGTAGCCCTGGCTATCCTGGAACTCACTCTGAGACTGGCCTCAAACTCACAGAGATCCACCCGTCTCTGCCTCCTGGGTGCTGGGATTAAAGGTGTGCACCACCAACGCCCAACTGCAGAAAGTGTTCTTCCCCCCCCCAACCCCAGCCCTCTCCAGACCCCAGTTATTCCTTTTTAAGACAGAATCTCACAATATAGTCAGTCCTGGCTGTGCTTTCAATCTACAGTTGTTGTGGGTAGTACAGAATCTATACCATAGGTCACTGTGTGTGCCAGAGTCACTGGCGGGGGTAGGTGAAGCACAATTTCTAGCAGACGCTGACACTGCTGGTCTGGGAATGGTCTTTGAGAATCAACATAAATAAGTGTCTGTGTTGGAATTAAGATGATGACAGTTAAGCCACAATCACTTAACATTAATTTTAAAAACCCTGTCTTATGAATTAAGACAAGCTTTAGATTTACAGAAGTTACAAAGATATTTTTGCACTTCCTTAACTCAGAACATTGATCACAACTTAAGAAACCAGGGCTGCAGATGGAACTCAGTGATAGACTACACACTTGTCTAACATGCATTAAGCTCCACGTTCATTCTCCAGCACACAGCACAACACTCAGGGAAGTGATCTTGGAGCCAGGCATGGTGGCACACACCTACAAACCTAGCACTTCAGCAGCCAATACAAGAGGATGACAAGCTGAGGCCAACCCAGGCTACACACAAAGATTGTTTGGAAGGGAAACTTTTTTTTTAAATTGTGTGTATGTGTCTGTCTGTCCATCCGTCTGTCTCTTCTCTGTCTCAGAGGTCAAAGGGGTATGCATGACTCCTTTGGAGCAGCACCTCTCAACCTGTGGGTTACAATGCCTTTGGGGTTGAAAGGCCCTTTCACAGGGGTTGCCTAAGAGACCACAGGAAAACGCAGATATTTACATTACTATTTGTAACAGTAGCAAAATTACAGTTATGAAGTAACAATGAAAATAATTTTATGGCTAGGGGTCACCACAACATGAGGAACTGTATTACAGGATTGTAGCATTAAGAATGTTGCAAACCACTGCCTTTGTGAGCCACCTGACGTGGGAGCTGGGATCTGAACTTGGATCCTCTGATATAGCATTAAGTGCTCTTAAGCATTTGAGCCACTTCTCCAGCCCTGGGTAAAATCTTCAACTAAAAAGGTGTGTGTGTGTGAACTTGATAGTGGATGAAGTACAGACTTTATACAAGTCTGCAGACCTTATACAGGTCAGTTTCCTCCTGCCAGGAGCTTTATTTGCATCTGTTTGTCATACCTCTTCAGTGTTCTGAAGCCTGGCACAAGTTTCCACTCTCCCTTGTCTTTCATGACTGACACTTCTAAATCAGTTAATCAATAGGATCTCCCTCAACTCATGATCAGAACTAGGTCATTATTTGAAGGATACAAGTAAGATGACAGGTCCTTCCTTCTCAGGGCATCAAATCAAAAGCTATGTTACCAGTTCTGATGATACTTATCTTGATCATCTAGTCCCACTGTGAATGTATAATTTCCTCTTTGGGAATTAGTAAATACATTAGAGAAAATATTGTGGGTAGGCAAATAGTTTCTACTTTAAATTTTGCCTGCTACTTCTAGTATCCTTTGAAGGATCTTGCCTAATACTTTTCTAATGGTGAATCTTAAATTTCTTTTTCCTTCTACATTTTTATAAATTGGAATTCTTCTACAGGGGAGAGTTATGGTGTCTTCTCACATTTATTTATTCACCCATTTGCCTTTTATAAGCATAAACAGAATCTTAAAATTTGCTTTTGGCCAATTATTATTATTTTTCAAAATATTGGTAGAAAAAAAACACATTTTCATCTGCAGTCCTTGCTCTCCCTAACAATATTATGAAATGAATTTTCTTTTAAACAAGTTGAAACATTTTTTTGTTTTATTCATTTGCCATTTAAATTAAAATTATTTCAACATATATTGAAAGTATTTTTAAAAATTGTTTATTTTATGTGTATGAGTATTTTGCCTGCATGCATACATGTACAATGCATGTGTGTATGTGCCTGGTACCTAGAAAAGTCAGAACACCATACCGGGGGCCCTGAAACTAGAGTTACCGACAATTGTAAATTTCCATGTGGGTGCTGGAAACTGAACCTGGGTCCTCTCCAAAAGCATCAAGTAATCTTAACCCCTAAACCATCTATCTGGTCCATTAAAATTATTCTTAAAAATATTTTTAAAAATACACATGGATTAATAAACATTTATTGAATAAACTAATACAACTTTAAGGAAAAGAAGCTGGTTCTTTCAGGATGGTTGGTGGTCCATGCTTGTAATCCCAGGATTTAGGAGTTAGCTACATGAACCATGTCAAAGGGGGGGAGGTTAGGGGATAGAGGGTCACAACAAAAGAACTCTGGTCCCAATATGGCAGAAATGTTACCATGAATTAACCTCCCTCTAGAGAATAGCTCAACTAAAATATTTTTGAAACTATGTGAGTGGACAAGGGAGGGGACACTGGAAAAGAACCACATTGGGTGAGATACTGAGTTTGCGTTTCCCTGGAAGCACGCAACAGTCAGTCAGTGAAAGGTCATGGTGAACACAACAGTTAGGAAGCCACAGCCTACTGGGTTGAGCTATCAAAGCACAGAGTTCAGAACTGCCACAGTGGCTGGCAATTGAGAACACAGATCCCACAGTGGAGAGAACCATAGGGGAAGGAAGGTGTCTTAGAAAATACATTTAAATTCTCCTCAAATCCATGCTTAACCCCAAATGACACACATTAAGGGAGACTGAGAATCCCAATGGAAAAAGCAGCTGGAAGGCTGAAGGAACTGAGCCACGACTCCAGCTTGTGCCCATGAGAACAGGTAAGGATTTAGATTTGGTTCCTAAATCATTAATGGGATACAGAAAGGATCTCGGTTTCCCTGAGACACTGAAAAAGATCAGGAGTTGAGATGACAAAATGATCTAGGCCTGCAGGATCTGCTTTAGGTGTATGGGTAAAACAAACACACCTGCCATTTTCAGATGTAAGGCCAAGGCTCCACAGGTCAACTGAGCTGCTAGTATTTATTGCTTGTTTTTCCAGACAGGGTTTCTCTGTGTAGGGTTTCTCTCTGTTCTGAAACTCATTCTGTAGAGGCTGGCCTCAAACTCATAGAGATCCACCTGCCTCTGCCTCCCAAATGCTGGAATTAAAGGCATGAGCCACTACCGCCTATCACCACCTGGTTAGCAGCTAAAATTTTAATCAGAGGCAGAGTCAGAGTTTCTACAAGAAATCATTTACACCATCTACTATATAACATAAAAATCACCACACTTGGAAGAGCAGTCAAGAAGAATGGAGAATATAAAAAATGACCTTGAAAAGCACCTAAAGAGGTTTTTAATCTGTTCAATGAAATGATTAAATGAGAGATAATGATCACAATGAATAAAAAAGAAGGGAAGACTTTCACCAGAGAAAGAAAACCTAGAGAGACAGTATGGATGTGTACACCTATAGTTCAAGATTGTAACTCCAGCTCCAAGGGTTCTGGCACCCTCTTGCCTGAACATTAAATCCACAGACATGCATACTTGTGGACACAGTCACAGACACACACGTGCACACATACATACATACATATATATATATGTGTGTGTGTGTGCATATATATATATATATATATATATATATATATATATATATATATATGGGAAATACAAGACAAATCTGGAAATAGAGTGATGGACATAAGTCAAAGTTACAGCAGAAGAGGCTCTCGGCCAATCTGGAAAAACCACATACTAAAATAAAGATGTCTGAGGAGGCTGAGACAGGAGGATTGTTGAGCATTGAAGCCACTGTGGACTGACTATACAGCGTGTTCTACACAGCATAGTCTATAGACAGGGTCTTTTCTAAAGGAAGGAACGGAGGGAGGGAGGAGGGAAGGAAGGAGGGAGGGAGGGAGGGAAGGAGGGAGGGAGGGAAGGAGGGAGGGAGAGAGGGAGGGAGGAAGGTGGGTGGGAGGGAACCAGCAGAGTTGTATCAGAAGTCAGCCTGCAATACACTGTAAGATGCTAGTTCAAAACAAATGTGGAGACCA